TTTATAAACTGCTATCATTTCTTTTGTAGGGATGGAATTCAGGTGAGGGACATAAGATGCCACCACTTTAATAGCCATATTCCTCACCCAGAATTGCTATCTTGTTTGGAGAAATAGCATTCAATGACAATAGTACTTGCATAAACACAAGACATACTTATCATAGATGATCTAGAAACACTCAACCTCCTTGATACAAGAATTATCAAGAAGTGATCAAAGGTGCTTTATTTGTATAAATCTCCTGATGAGTTATTTTCTCCTTTTTATTTAAATTTAAAGATAACTACATATCTTGTGGTCAATTAGGTGTTTTTTGTAGTTCATCTGCTACTCTCAAATATCAGCGACTTCCATACGCTTAAAGATGGATGCTTTTGTTGCCTAAGACCTTGCTGCATATTGGATATGTACAGCTTATCTTCAAGGTGCTAAATCAAGTGTTCCAATCCTTGGAGGAGTTTGCCTTTAAATGAATACTAAGCAGGTCAGAAGAGTGGAAATATGTGGGATGAACTAAGTGATTTACATATGTTGGTACTCAATAAATATTTGAAGATTGAACTGATAAAAATGAAATAAGATTAATTTTCATAAAGATTACAGAGTTGGACATTTAAGTATAAGGAAGGAAACTTCACATTATAATGGTACCATTAAAGTTAGTTTATGCTATCTCTTTGATGCTCTCTTAATACTCCCTGAACCATTCATCTTCAGTATTATTTATAACAAATTTTGGTTACATCCAATGTCTATTTCAGTAGTTCTCAATCTTTTGGGGAATTTTGGAGTTCTTTTAAGATTTGATGAACTTCATGAAGCACTTTTCCTAGGAAAATGCTCATTTACAAATACCTGCCAAATTGTGTGTGTGTGTGTGTGTGTGTGTGTGTGTGTGTGTGTGTGTATTAGTAAGCTCTGATGCCTAATCATTGGGACCCAGGGGTCTATGCCCCCTAGAGGTAAAGAATCTAAGAATCCTTGGTCTGTTTACTGAAAATAAGTTTTATACAGCCATCACCTTTGAATGGCCTCACTTTTAAGGTAGGATAAATTATATAGCCTTTAATTTAGACATTAAGGGAATGTAGATAGTTTCTCCTCTTGTTTAAAAAACCATGAGTTAACATTAAGAAAGAAATAACACATGTATCTAAACAATACAGGTACAAAACAGATTAAGCATTTGTGTTCAAACCACTTACTATTAAAGAAGAAATATATTTCTATCAGAAAATTATTTTCAAAGGCCAGGGTTTTAAAACAGTTACCAACTATTGGACTAAAATTTACTGATGGGTCTTCTGATTTCCAAAAAACTACTTTGATTTATAAAAAACATTAATATATAGTTGTATGGAAACAAATTAGTATGTTACTTTATCATTTGGTTTTTTGCTTTTGTTTTTCAAATACAACCTGAGCAAACATTTTTGACATGTTTTGTCAGTGTCATTATTATTATGCAAAATAATAGTATGACTAGTAGCCACATTTTATTTGCACTCAGTTGTGCTAGGTACAACATTAGTTCCTACCCCCCTGTGAGGTTGGTATTACTTTTAATTTACAGATGAGAGAAATGAGAGTCAAAGAAATTAGGTAAATTGTAGCTAGTGATAGTGTTGGCATTTAAACACAGATTTACTTAACTTCAATTCCATCGTTTTTTATAGAGAAAACCATACTTATGAAATCAATATTTTCATGTTGTTTTTAACTAGTTTTATATGACTTTATGGTTTGGGGTATCTTGTAAACAAAGGTATATTTAGTGGCTGTATCTTTAAGTGTATAAATTTAAAGGTGCTTAATGAATAATAAAATCCAGAAAAATGAGTCAACATTTCCCTCTGGTTGTATAAGAATGGGTCTTCCCTTTAAATGCAGTCTTACTTACTATGCCACTGTATCACAAAATTGTGCCGCATGTAATTTTTAAAATCAATAAATCCACAGTTGTATTAAGAAATGTTTTATTAACAAAACAGTAAATTCCACTTGCTTAGCATTTCCATTAATGGATAAATTGGCCTTGCAACAGAAAAACAGAAACAAAAAACAAAGAAAACCCCTTAGATACCCAATCACACAAAGCACTAGAAGGGTAGGGTCCTGTGGCCTTTCTTTGATGTCTTAGGGATTGACCACCTCACACATTATTGTAGTATTCGTCTTTTTTTTAAAAAGGCAACACATTACATGAATAAAAAAAGAAGCATACTCAATCAGAAAAGTTACAGTCTAGAGATGTAATCAAATTTATGCCAGGTAGTGTGAAATCCTCTATTAACTGCAATCTATGTGTGGAACCCTGATACATTTGGTATGAAGATACTTGGGATTTTATTCAAGTCATTTTCTCTCCCTAACTCATGTTTTCTTTCTCTATTCAGAAAAAAAAAAAAATGCTAGATTTTGTGTAGGCCAATGACAGTAGAAATATTTTTACTGGTAATATTAGATTATATCCTTGAATGTAATTTTAAAATTTATTCTGGGAAGAAGCATTGAACTCAATCCCAAACACCATGTTTCATAGATATACTGCTTAAAAATACCATTATTCAATTTATTTTCTATCATATTTTATCATCTTTCTAGATGGAAACTCATTCAGCTTTAATAGGTCAAATGGAAAAGCAACCGATTTTTTTAAACGCAATATGTAAATTAGTGGTTTTATGTTTCCCTTTTTATTTCACTGGCTTTCCCTGAGTAAGACTGAATGAGAAGGGGTGGGGGGAAAGACTTGCGAATTCTTTAACCTGGCAAATTAAAACAACATAAAAACCTAAAACATGAGTAATGGATATTACATTTTAGTATACCTTCTACTTTCTGGGTCATGAAAAGCTTTTAAGATTTTCATACACAATAATTACTTGGCAACCATAGATAGTGGTGATTTGCTATGAATTGTATACACTTCTTAAGTGCTGTATGTCTGAAATCCAGGCCACTTCTTGGCTGTTTTCATCAACTAAAGCATCACAAGAGATGTTTTGCATTTTTTGTCTTTGCTGGTTAAAGCTAATTGTAAAGTTATTCTTCTCTTCTATGAAATTCAATATCTTATTTTTGGAAGATGTTCAAGTAATGCACCCAATTTTTACTGAAGCATCACCTTGCAAATAATGCATTTCTTTTGCATTACCTTCTCGTACTAATAATTTATTGCTATGATCATTGAAACAATATGCAAAAACAAGTGTATAATCTATAGTTTTCTACTACCTAATGTGTTAAACTAAAACTATTTTTAATGATATATATGTAAAACCAGAAAAGTTAAAACATAGTCAATAATCAACAGATAGAGAATGATTTTTTAAAGTGGGTAGTAATACAGAATAAGAAATTATTGAAAATACTTTCCTAGCTGAGAAAGTGTTTACTTTCCAAAAATGTTTATCATGCACATCAGGTTCAGAGAATATATATATTGTTTTATTAGAAACAAAGTTTTCAATTGCAGCAGCCAGAGTTAAGGTAGATTAACCAATTTTGCTTCCATAACCTGCCCACATAATGGTTCATATTCATGCAGCAGTATACCAGTGATATTCTATTTGATTAGAAAAGGTTCTATTTTTTTAGGGACTAAAATCTTCTTGAGGTTTCCTGGGAGCAAGATCTCGATGAAGCAAATCACCCCATTTGTCATCAATACCTTGGCACAACTATCTTCCTTCTTGCTTTTCAATTTGTCCGTAAATATTTGCTACTAAATGCATGTTTGGGTATTCCATCATCTCGGATGGATTCCTGTGTGTATGTGTGTGTGTGTGAGAGAGAGAGAGAGGGAGATTGTGAATGTGAATGGATGTTGGAATGTGAGTATTTGGGGGAGAAAAGATTATAAGATATATATGTATATATTTTACCTTCTAATTCACACCTTTCATACAAATATTAAAACTTAATTGCAACAGAATGAAGGCTGTACATGTAAGAAAAAAGCTGAGTCTTTTTATATACATTCATACATATCTTCCTTAGAATAAACACTACACTGTAATTTTTTTAAAAAATAAAAGTAATTGTGGCAATTTATAATGGCAAAAAAGAAAAAAGAAAAAATAACTGAAATGTTGCTCTGATGTCATAAAACTCCCTATACTTAGCAACACTTATAACATTGAATTTACCAAAAATGGCTGAAGAGCAGAGATATATTTTGCATTTTCTATACAACAGGCTATAAAACGTCACTTATCACAGTCCAGAAAGCACACAGAGATGGATTTTATATAAACATATGTAATAACAGAGTAAGCGTGCATGAAAATTTCCCAATGATTGCATCTATGCCATCTTGTTTTGAAATTTTAGTGTGAAAATGTGCCTTATATTTCACATTTTTGAAAATAAGGCCTCCATACTTTTCATCTCTCACAACCAGAAAGGGGCTTTTTGAATGTGTTCCTACACAAGTCTTCAAAAAAGCCAGCACTTCATTTCAAATGCAAATTCCAACCACTTCTCCAGTTGCACCAGGTAGCAAACACTTACAGGTTTGCAGGTTGAGTCACCCAAAATGACAGTCTTCTCTGGCAATTGGACTAATTGACTTCTCAGGAAAGCGCTAGCACTTTGGCTAAATCCAGGATCATAGGTAGCTTCTTTTTTTGTGTTATGTTTTGTGTTGTTTTTTGTGTTGTGCCTTGATGTCGTAATACTCCTTTGCTTTATGAATGCGTGCGGTCATCACTGTCTTTTAGAAATGTTCCAGCAACATAAAGACAGGCAGAGTAAATGAAAACACTGTGGATGTTAGGGAATTTATTGGCCCCTGTTTTTTTTTTTTTTTTTCTTTTTTGAGAAACAAGAGCATGAGATACTTGTTTTTATTTTTTAAAAAGTCTTTCCTTCCTGATTGCATTCCCTGTCTTCTTTTGTATGTGCTTCATAAAAAGGAAAGTAAATAAGTTTATATTATGTCTCAGATAAAATGAAGACTATTTCTATACAAGTGTCCATTTAAGATCTTGGGATCAGACGTAATACTCTTTATCCTTGTTTTTCTTATTTTTGTTGGCGCTTTTCACACTGCTGGGTTGTTTCTCCTTTACAACTGCCCCATTGGACTGTGCTGAGTTACTGATGTAGTTTCGACTCTCGTCCACATGGTATGAGCCTTCATCCCGGTTTCTGTACTTGTACATGGCATAGAGGAGGATAAGGATGCACAGGGCGGCAGCGGCTACTATCCCAACGACCATGCCGGTGGTGCTGCTAGACTCTCGTATCACTTCTGCTGAGCCTGGGTATGGCTCTCTCCCACCTGCTCGAGTTGGGTTAGCTATAGGAAAGAGGATGAGAAAAACACAAAGTGACTATTGAGTTGATTGAATGCCAGAGAGCTATATTAGTATTTATCATCTATTTCAGGCCTAATGGAATAGCACCTACTGCTTTAGGAAAAGTATACTGTTGCCAACTGTAGCAATCCTTGTGCCTCGTGGTCACTAAAAACTAGAGACTATGAATCAAAATGTTCAGGGAGAGATGTGCCATCTGTTCTTTCTCATAGATCAATTTTGTTAACAGGATCATGTAAGCATAGCCCCAAATAAATTCCAATTAGCTCTAAAGGGCCCTGTTGGTGTGTTAGGTGAAAAATTACAAACTCAAAATGTGAAATAAAATCAAAACAGCCTTACTCTGTGATATTAGAGTGGATCATTACAAGAATCAAAGGGATATTGCTCTAGAACACTTAGGTCTAACTCTAAACTGAATCAGGACAACTGAATTTAAGATTACTTTCGAAATCTAGTGTCAAACAATTAGATTATTCAGTCATTTAATATAGTCTACCTGCTTTTCAAAGTGTAATTTTAGTCACATATTTATAAGCTCGAAAAGAATCAATGTCCTTTTTTGTTGGAGATTTATTTTCTTGCCCAAGTATGTATGTATTTTATTTATTCATTGGTGGTGGTTAAGTGATTCCCAAAGCTAAACTTTGGAGGAGACAGTTTGAAAACATTCTTTCTCAGTTTTAGATATCTTCTAGATTGGTTTTGAGTCAAAACTCAGTGCCTTATAGATAATACCTAATACCTAATAGATAATAATAAAAGACTAGCTAGCCTAGTTTTATTCAACTGATAAAACTCTCACTCAATCTTCCCAAAGTATGAATAAAGCTCTTCCTTGGATATAAGCAATGGATTACAAGGCACCAAATGTCTTCAGCAAGGCCTGGTCAGACACTGAAATTGACCATAGATGGGGAAGAAAAGGCCTAAGATTTAGTTGGTAGATACGCTGAGGGATGGCTGTTTTCCTCTATATACAAAGTTTTTCTTTCTTTTTTTTTGAGACAGGGTCTCACTCTTGCCCAGCCAGAGTGCAATGGTGTCACCATAGCTCACTGCAACCTCAAACTCCTGGGCTCAAATGATCCTTCTGCCTCAGCCTCCCAGGTAGTTGGGACTACACAACGCCAGGCTGATTTTTCTACTTTTTGTAGAGATGGGGGTCTCTCTCTTGCTCAGGCTGGTCTCGAACTCCTGACCTCAAGTGATCCTCCCACCTCAGACTCCCAAATTGCTAGGATTATAGGCATGAACCACCATGCCTGGTCAAAACTTTTCTTTCTATATAAAAGAATAGGAACTGTAGAGAGAAAAGATTATATCCCACCTTGACCCTAGGTCATTTTTCTCTATTGATTGTGCTTTCTGTATTTCCCTGAATCTCTACCCGATTCCTTGTCCTACTGAAAAATATTACTTTTCAGATGTAGTGAATTAAAAATACTATAATTTTCAAAACATTATTTCTTATAAATTATGCAAAATGAATTCAAATAATCTCAAGATTGCATATGTATTAGAGATGTGTGTATATGTGCTTATGTATATATATATATACACACAAATATACACACCCCAGGAATTGAAAATTCAAGAAGACTAAAACTGTGGGTTTTTTCCACTGCTATTAAACATCATTTAGTAATTTTTAATATTTCTACAATAGTTTCCTGTTAATTACTAGAAATCACTTACTAACCATATAGCTCTATACTGTTTTGTAATTCCACTTTCAAACATCACCAAGCTGCCTCTGCCTAAAAGTGGACTTTTTCTGTCATTTCCACAATGAGGCCTTAAAATATAGTCACTTCCAAAGTAGTAGCTCTCAGTCTCAAAGCAGCAATATGCTATGTTCTAGAGCTACAAAATGTAGCAGATGAAACCTTTTTATGCTGAATATGTCACTGCTTGTTTTACAAAAGCCCATGTAATGTTGCTGAATAAAAAGCCTTGGAGTTGCTTCTATAGCCAAGGTAGAAGGAAAAAAAAAGACTATAATCCACAGTATTTGATTGCAGGAAATTAATTTCCTCTTACAAAGAATAGAATATACTACAGTAACTCTGTAACTACCTGACAAATCAGAGGCGGCACTTTCTCTTTTAAATACAGTCATCTTTGCCAAAGTGTACCAATTAGCTCAGCTGCCAACTTTCAGTCAGTGAAAACTTTCATTTTGCAGAGTGTTCTTTTACTATGGTATCTCAAGCATAAAAAAAGGAATTTTATTTAAATGTTACCTAAATCATTTATTCCCGCCCGATGGAATGCTTTCATTTTGAACACATTTTCACAATTATTTTGTCAGAAGGAAACAGTGAGAATGGAGATAAGATTTTTAGCCATTTAGCTCATGATAGTAAAACTTGAAAATTTTAATGGAATACAGGGTTTAAGTTTTCTATACTAAGAATATATGCATAAGACAATACAAGGTATTATAGAAAAAATATATTTGCATACATTTTTCCAATTAGGAATTGGTATCATAAATGGACTATCTAATCTAAGAATATTTTACTTTTATCTGCTCAAATATTTCTGAAATGTTTTCAAAACAACTGTGCATGTAGCACAAAACAATAGATTTGTGTGAAAACAAAAACAACGTTGTTAAGACCATAGCAAAGCCTGAAATACTTCAATTTGTGCCATATATTTGATAAGTATTTTCCTTAAACAGGAGATGTTTATCTTTTTTGTAACATCAGCCAAAATGTTGTTTAGTCTCATGAGGCCTAAAAATATCTCTACGTAATCCACATGTGAAATTGTAAAGATTGTGTTTTCTTAAAGTAACCTACAAAAAAAAAAACACCCAAAACAAAATCTAAACCCAATAAAGAAACATTTTATCCTTTTTCCCCCTTATTCACACTAAAATTTTAACAACTGTCACAATAAGTTTTAATATGTCTGTTTGAAATATGTAATTACTCCTATATCTGATTAATCACATTTTTTTCTATTTATGCTTTTAATCTGAAGGCTAGTGAAATTTTTCTTGACATTTATTCTAAGATCAGAAGTATTTATGTGTTAATGGGACATAAAAGCTAGAGAAATTTAAATATTTTCATGAATAAATGTTTCATTTATTGTCACTAATGTTTTATTTTGATGATCACTGAAAAACCTGAGGAAATTTCATATTAATTAAAATGCAGAGAATAGTATAAATGACTAATAAGGTTAAATGTCTTCTTACACAAAAGTTATGAAAAAGAGAAATGTAGTTATCTCTTAACCATTTATGACAATGTTAAAAATAAAAGGAATTTAATCAGAGAAATTCATAAATCATATATTTCATGGATTTGAGAATTTTATATTTTCTTAAATACTCCATAAAATAAGATACTTTAATTAGTAAAACAATCTATAATTTTTTTCAGTAATGTGAAAAAGTAGATTAATGCACTAAAATTTCATCTCTTTTCTCTTTCCTTGAACATGTGATGAAAACACTTTATAAACAAGTATAAGAGCATAAAGGAGGAGGAGCTGAAAATGGAATGTACACAAATTAGCTTTAAGTTTTAATGGTCAAAAATTAACTCTGATTTGTATGTAAAACTAAGCTGATGTAGCAGTTATGCTGGGCCCAAGAGCACAAGGGGTCTAGGTCAATGAAAACTTAGAGCATAGGACTGATGTAGTCTACCAGGTGTTGGGAGAGCACATAGGTACACCTTAATGGCAACATGAAGGCTTTAGAGTTTTGTTGACATGTTAGCCCAGATGATTCAGAAGCTACTGATTATACTAGCAAGGATGAGGAGCTATCATAAGGGTTATGACCTCTTTCATATTTATATTCCCTTCTTTCATATTCAATTTGCCAAATGGTTATGGAAAAATTCCTGGGATTCATGCACTGATAAACAGTGTTACCTTAAAGGACAAATGAAAAGTGGCTTTTAATGCTTCCTCTCTCTTCTAATATTTGGCAAGATCTAATGATCTAATGGTCTCTTGAAATGTTCCACATGGTCTGCTTCATCCCAGTAGATTTATCAAGAATCCTTTATGCTAGCTCTGTGAATCTTCTTCTTTTTCCATTCTCTAATTAGTATTGTGATTACTTAGGGTAGGCATAAGCATCTAAGTGTTAGGACAGTTATTAACATATTTCCATATTTATACTGTAAACCAATTTATTCATATTACATGATAATTCATCATGGAAAATGCACACTAAATGCAAAAGTCATATTCCGGTGCCTTGTCATATAAATGGAATAATAAATTCAACTGCTGCTCTGCATAAAAAATTTAAGAGTTAAATCTTTAAAATTTTAACTTATCCTTAAGTTTGCTGAGATAGTTATTTTAAACTACAACAACAGCACAGAAAATTGTCCTGATATGTGTTTGTTCTTTAATTTTCACAGTCCTTGGAACTATATCTGTGAAAGAATATCATTTCCCCAAATAAGAACTAAGAAATGCCATGGGACAAACATGTTTAAGAGATTTTTTCAACTTTAGTAGAGTGAACAGGGCTGTTTGTGGCAGGCTTCATGTCTTACCAGGCTCTTCGGCCCTCTGTCACCTCCTCCATGTTCCCCTCTATTCTTCTTCTCATTTCTTCCCCCTCCTTATGTCTTCTGTGCCTCCCTCTCTCAGCTCCTAAATTATCCTTGTAGATGGCCCTCAGAGAGCATAGCTAGTATGTCCCTCCCCATCTCCAGGCAAATGAAGAAGGTCAGGCCAGCGAGGTCTTTGTCTCTTGGGGTTGGTGCATCACTCAGCAAAACATTCAATAAACAACAAAATTTACTGCCAAGTTGCTAATTTCAAATCACAATATAAAATAATTCTGTCAAAAATGTCTAAATGTGATTATTTTACCAGAATAGTTTTTATGTTTATATTGGCATGATTACTTTAAAATTTAACTCTTAAAATTACTTTTTTATTTCAAAATATTAAGGGGGTACAAATGTTTTTGTTACATGGATAGCTTTTATAA